TGGGCATGGCCTAATTTGTGGGTGTGTCTTGGTGGTCATGTGACTGGCTGAGCATGGCTTGCGTGCAAATATTATAAATATATAAATATTGAATTTTTTATTTAAAAAAAAGAGCAACAAAGCAGCCGGGCAGTTTGAGTTGCTCACAGAATCGTTCAGTGATCTATCTGCCATCAACTACCTGAGACTGTCACATAAAATTTGCTTGCCATGAGTCCTTCCCTGAATAATAGAACCTTCAGTCCTAAGGGAGGTTCGGCTGTGCTTAAAAGCAAGAGCTGAAGATCTAAAGATTAGCTAGAAAACAAGAAATCCAACCATTTCCTGCTTCCTAGCTAATCTAAATCTCCCGGCACAGCAGAACAGCTGATGGTCGGGGCCGGCGGGGGAAGGAAAAATAGCTACTTAGCAGGCAAGTTTGCCGGGTAAGGAGTGGGCGGGGAGGGTTCCCACAGGCCATGTGGGCAGCGCAGCCTTGTGTTTCTGCGCAACCTGGATTAATTGCTTTGGGGGTTGCTCTGGGGTTGACATTTCTCTTCGGGGGGACCAAAATTTTCCAGTGGGCCACGGCCTACCAGTTGGCGACCACTGTTCTAGTCCAATCCCCTGCCCATTGCAGGAGACCTTATATCCACTCCAACAATCCAATCTGTTCTTGGAAACCTCCAGTGCTGGAGCGCCCCCCCAACTGCAGGAAGCAAGCTATCCCATCAATTAATGTCTGCTTATTTCCAGGTTGAATCTCTGTTTAACAAGCTCCCATCCATTGCTTCTTGTCCAGGAGTTTTGGAGAATAAGTCTACCCGCTTTCTGTAGCAGCTCTTCATGTACGGAAAGACAGTTATCATACCCCCCCCCCCCTCACCACCCTCTTTATCTGAACTCTTTCTGGGTCTCAGCGTATTTTTTTTTTGTATTGTGGCAACCAGAACTGGACTCCATATTCCAAGTGAGATCTCATTTGTGCAGTGTAGTGCAGTGCAGTACCATGACTTCCTTTGATCTTGATACAGTCCCTCTGTTGATGCAGACTAGAACTATATTTGATTTTTTGGGTAGCTGCAGCACACTGCTAGCTCATAAGTGGCGATCCACCAGAATACCTAGATCCACCTCACAGTGTTCTAACCAAGGCTTCTGAGACCGTAATTACACACACACTTATTTTAAAAGCAGGTCTTGTTTTATTGCAACGTCCTTCGAGATAAGCACCCAACTTGTCTTCCTGTGAAATGCTACCAATAACATAAACGTCAAATGAACTAGAAAGAAAACCAACCGAAGTACAGCTTCAAGAACGAGTCTGAACCGTACAAACGATTTTGCTTCCTGCAAAGGTTTCCTCATCTTTGCCTGTCTTTTATACTTTATGGGAGGGGCAATTACCTCTCAGCCTTATTCCCTAGTTGCCCTTTTTGTTTCCACTGCTCTCGCCTTCTAGCAGCTCTGCGCACACGTGCACTGGGAACAGACTCCCCTGGGTCCTCTGCCTCACTGCTGCCAGACTCCGGAGGCAGTACCCCATTCTCAGATGGCCCTGGCCCCATCTCCGCATCAGATGCAGGACCCTTGTCCGAGTCCTCTCCAGACTCCCACTGTCCGATTCCGCTGCCGTCTGCACAAGCTGCCGGTGAACCACAACACACAGTTACTGCTGTTGAGCTAGATACTGCCTATTACTCCAGGCCTTGAATCATCTTCTGATGCCTTGGTGGCACAGTGGTTAGAATGTAGTATTGCAGCCTACCTCTGCTGACGGCCGTCTGCTTGCAATTTGGCAGATGGAATCTCAACAGCTACCAGGTTGACTCAGCCTGCCATCCTTCCGAGGTGGGTAAAATTAGGACCCAAATTGTTGGGGGCAAGAGGCCGATTATAAACCGCTTAGAGACCGCTCTAGAGCACTAGAAAGCGATATATAAGTCTAAGTGCTGTTGCTATTTAGGTGCTCTTCTTTGCACTTTTTCCAAAGTCTCAACAACTTTATTCTGGTGACCAAAACTGTATACAGTATTCCAGCTGTGGCCTTACAAAGGCTTTATAAGCAAAACTAACACTTCATCTGATTTTGATTCTATGCCTTTGTTTATACAATCCAGGATTGTATTAGCTTTTTTGGCTGCGGCCGCACACGCCTGGCTCATGTTTAAGTGTTTGCCAAAATGTTATTTTTTTCCCTCTGATTTTTCTACAATGTATTAAAAAATGCTTTTATCCTTGGTGCTGTGTATTTCTGCAGAGATGCAGTGATTCCTCACATACAATGCAACTTTCCCTCTTTTGTTGGCTCTGGGTTTTGTTTTGTTTTTGAACAATTTATAACCTAATTGTTCCAATTATGAGTTCTATCCCAAGTTTACGTAATGGCAACAATATGGTGCCTGCTCTCATGTATTGGATTTCAAGTTCACCCCATATTCCCCATTAATTTGAGCAGTAGTATATAGGCATCTGAGTGTTTTATGGCTGACCTTCCATTTGCTCCCTACTTGTTTTTTTTGTTGTGTGATTGGTTATTGTGGAGTTTACGTTTGGGATTAGGTCCTAAACTGGGGTGGAATATGACAGGGTTAACTACCAATTCGGGATTTACGAACTTCCCTGCACACAGGTGAACCGTGCGCCTGTAAATCGTCATCAGCATGCTGTGTGCAGAGACGCAGCCTTTGAAACAGCCCTCTTTTCCTGCTTTTTTAACTGCAGCTGTGCCTCGTTCGGCAGCTGAAGTTGAAAAATCAGGAAATAAAGATCAGACAAGAGCCCAGGTGGGTGGGTGGGCAAAAATATCAGCAGACATAGAACCAGTTCTGTGTCTGCTGCTCTTCAGGGCTACTGGTTCTACAGAGGTGGACAGAACCTCTGGGCCTAAAGATTTGTCTCCTTCCTTTCCAATTTTAGTTTTAAGCCTTTCAGATAAGCCAAGCCAATTGTTTTCCAAATATTCTCCCCTGTTCTTCTGAGGTGTAGCCTCCACCAAAATCAATTAATAAAACCTCAACTTTGCCCCACTCCAGAGTCAGTTGCTCTGATTTCGATTAAAGGACCAGTTTCTCAATGAGAATGTTCTGTATAATCTCCTGAGTTTTTCTTTTTCAGCTTAAGATACAATATTTGGAGATCATATGAGGGCTGAATGCCTTGCAAAACATTTCCTGGCCTCACTGTGCAATTCGTCCAGGTCTGAAAAGACCTTTGGAAACCCAGAAGATTTCAGGGCTCTCTGTCAGAGAAGACTGGAAATGGATGCAAACCAGGAAGCCTGGGAGAGAGTAGGAAAAAGCCCTACTGCTGCTCTGCTTGGGAACGGTGCGGAGGTCTGGGCAGGAGCCCGGCAGAAGATCCCAGAGGAGGAAGCTCTCAGTTCTGAGATCCAACATTGGTGCTTCAGGAACAGCCCCTTTCAGGAGGCCGAAGGACCGCGAGAGCTTTGCAGCCGCCTTCATCGTCTTTGCTGGGGGTGGTTGCAGCCCGAAAAGCACACCAAGGCTCAGATGTTGGACCGGGTGATCTTGGAGCAGTTTCTGGCCGTCCTGCCCAGGGAGATGCAGTGCTGGGTGCGGGAGTGCCGAGCGGAGACCAGTTGCCAGGCGGTGGCCCTGGCCGAAGGTTTCCTGCTAAGCCAAGCGGAAGAGAGGGAACAGGAAAAATGTCAGGTGAGAGACACTCCTCTTAGGAAAAATGGATGGATTTTAATCTGCTTGATGCCAACTCATAAAATATTCCTATGCCTGTTTTAGTAGTTGGGGGAAGCAAAAGTATATTCCAACCCTTATCTTTAAAAGATTGTAACTAAAATACTAGAGTTCTTGCCCCCGAATATATTTAATTGGACAACGTGTATGATGACACCCAGCCTGTGAACGTGCTCAATTGGAGGATCTGGTTTATGAGACACCCAGGGGGGTGGGGGTGGAAAAAGGGGCACAGGGGACTGTAAATTAATTTTGCCAGAGTTGGCTTCCTACAGGGTAGTGCCAGTATGTCGCCTCTAATGAATCCTTTGAAGTTTATTGAAGTTTGGCTGGAAAAATCATGATTTAATTAGAGTGATTGCTGGAATCCTGACACTTGAATTCTTAATTATTTGCCAAAGAGAGTTGTTGGGATTAGTTATACAAGAAAACGTTTAGAGAAGAATTGTTTCTGTGTTCTCCCAGAGGACATATGTAGAGCATCTCTTCTGTTGTCCCCAATAATAGATACAAGAAGTATCGTGATATTGTGGCCACAAAATTAAAATCCAGATTCAGGTAGATCCTGTCCTTAACTCCTCTTCCTTGGCTGTATTCTTCAGGTTCCGAGGTCCTTCCTGGAAGTGGGCACCGGTCCTGAGGAAATGGCGGTTCATGCAGATCCGTGGTGCTGCAGGGCCGTTTCCAAGCAGGAAGGTCAATATCAGGATGGTTCACCAGGTGATGGTCATTCTGCATGGTTGGTGATTTTCGAGAGATATTCCAGTTTTTTTTTTAAAAAAAATCTGTGTATCTTCTCTCTTGTGTCTAATTGTTAGAATTACTAGAAGGTGACCCAACAAGAAAGACTTAATTCTCCTACTTCAAGCTAGAAGTCTTAAATCTCATGAGGGATATTCCTTCTTCAGTCCATCCTTGGTGGTGTTCTTACTCCTTCATCCCAATATATTTTTCTTTGTCCTGAGAGACGGGAAAAGGGGCGGCCTGTTTTTGGCCTTTTGTAATAATTTGAATTAAATTCTAATACATATCCCTGCTAGACCAGAACAGAAGAGTTAGAGCTAATCTGTTTCCTGCTTATCTCTTTCCTTCCCAGGGAACGAAATGGAGTCACAATTGTTCACAGTATCATCTCCTTGTATTGGTGAAGCTGAAAGAACAGCTGGACCTCCAGCTCAGGTAGGGGAAAAAAAGACCAGGGGCGAATTTGGGGAAGCAATGTGTTATAGGTGATAATTTGGTTATCACACCTGAGAATATAAAGAGCCGAACTGAAGCCATTTTGTGTTCGCAGTCTGAACTTTTAAAGTTCAGAACATTTATGTAATATGTTTTCTGCTAGAAATTATACAAGATTGCAAAACTATGTACTTGGCATAAGTTAGAGGTATGTGCTGAGGCGGTCTGACATTAGATGTCACATTAAGAGATATTAATCGCTTTCTTATAATTTTCTGGTATTTGAATAACAGGAACTCTGACTATAATGAGAATGTTGGGAGTTTTCCATGGAAGGTTGGAACTTTCTTATGAAAAAAACATTCTATAACTTCCATATATGGAAAACAGGAAGTGTTATGTAACCATGTGATTTAATAAACCTATATAAGCTGTATTCACTAAATGGAAGTGTCTCCTTCCTCCTAGAAAATGTTTTTTTTTTTCTGGAGTAGAGGGGTCCATACTGCAGTATTTTCCCTAATAAAGCATCCTATGGATCAGATTGTCAAAAGTCTGTTGATTCATTTTTATGTACTTCTCACATAATGGAAGCTCCATTTTCATTTGGGGTCTCAGCATAACATACTGCTGTCAAGATTCGGTGCGCTTTTGCTGTTGCAACCATTACTGCTTCTCCCCTTGCTAATGAACCAGGGGGTGAGAAGGGGGAGATAGATAGATAGATAGATAGATAGATAGATAGATAGATAGATAGATAGATAGATAGATAGATAGAATACTTTATTGACCAAGTGTGATTGGACACACTAGGAATTTGTCTTGGTGTAAATACTCTCAGTATACATAAAGAAAAGGTACATTCATTAAGAATCAAGAATTATAACGTTCAACGTTCAATGGTAGTCATAGGGTACAACCAAATCATATCATCAAATCAAATCATACTAGGAAACAGTCAATATAAATCGTAAGGATACAAGCAACAAAGTTACAGTCCTACAATCACAAGTGGGAGGGGATGGGTGATAAGGAGTGATGAGAAGATTAACAGTAATAGTAGTGTACACTTTGTAAATAGTTGAACAGTGTTGAGGGAATTATTTGTTTAGCAGTGATGGCTTTTGGGAAAAAAATGTTCTTGTGTCTAGTTGTTCTGGAGTGCAGTGCTCTATAGTGCGTTTTGAGGGAGGGAGTTGAAACAGTTTATGTCCGGGATGGAATGTAGGCTCCAGACCTTGATATGTGTGAGAGCCAAGGACACTTCAGCAGATGTTTGCCAAACCCAAAGACTATTTCTCATAACAATACAGTGAGACACAATTGGACAGTGTGACCTGCACTAATGGGGGGGAGGGAGAATCCTATGCTTAGCTTATGTAGGTTTGCGTGTGAATTAGCTAGATCTGGTTTTGCCCCCATCGATGCCAAAATGATATACCCAATAAAGTTTTGCATTAAGAGATTGGATCGTCTCGACTGTGCTTGCTTTGGTTGGGTTCGTCAGCTGAAATATTGACAACTGAGACCCCCAAATGTGCTGAGTCTGCTCATAGAGATTCTTTCTCTTTCAGAGTCCCGTGTCCTTTGACGAGGTGGCCATATATTTCACCAGTGAAGAGTGGTTGTTGCTGGATCCCAACGAGAAAGCCTCGCACCGAGAAGTCATGTTGGAGACATGTGGGATTGTGGCCTCTTTAAGTAAGGGTTCCTCTAGAATTAAACCAAAGCAAAGAGTCACTAGACAATTTATTTACAGCTTAGGAGATTTGTGCAGATCTTGTTAAAATGATTGCCATAGTATGTATATTGTGGCACTGGATGTATATTACAACACACGTGACACAAGTTAATACACCACATCATGATGTCAAGACCTGGACTTGCATTGCTTGTTATTTAATTTGGATGTCCTTTTTTTTAAGTTGTTGTTCACTGCAAGAATGAAACAAGACCAACTATGCTGTTTGAACCAAATCCAGAGATGACACGGTCAAATCCAATTGAATTGTTTTATTTGTTTACACCTAATAGAATCTTGCCAAACTAAAACTGTAACCTACTCACTTACTAGATACCGGTATATCCTGAGATATTCTAGAAACCCTGAACCTCTTTCCCCTCTCCTTCGTCCAGCTTGGGACTAAGCCGTGACTCAAATCTGGATCTTTCTCTGTGAAAGATCTGGGTTGCCAAAGCAACCTGTTTTTCCAGGCATACATTCCATCATATATGTAATTTTTAAAAAATTAATCAATCACGCTGTCATTTTCCTATTGCTTTCTCTGCAGATGCAGGCTAGGGCCTGGGATGGGAAGAGCAAGTTGTATGTTTGTTGTGTTAGAAGTATTGAAAAAGATTCTGCAAATAATATGAGACTTAATCCCTGGTGACATCCTGAATTTCTTGCTTTTCTAATCAGATTTTTTTCAATTGTCTTTTTTTCCCCATCAAGCAGTTGATGATCAGGAGAATGAAGATTACCAAGAGCCAACTGTGGTGTCGGAAGTAATCAAGATTGAAGAAGAGACATATACTGATGAGTTTGGAAGAGGCCAATGCTACAACTGGAGAGAAATCTCCACTCTTGAATGCATGGAAAGTGATTATCTCCTGACCCAAAATGTTCATAAGGAAAATGGGTTGGGAAACTATCAAGGAAGTGGGGAAACATTCCAAGCAAAACCCAATTCCAATAATTACCACCTCAGCAGTAACAGTGACATTATTCCTCATAAAATGATCCATACAGAAAAGAAACCTTATAAACACTTGGACTCTGGAAACAGCTTTAGATGTACTGGTAATCTTAAATACGATAAGAAGATCCATTCAGGGAAAAAGCCTTATAAATGTGCAGCCTGTGGAAAAGGATTTGGTTCAAATACTTCCCTTACTTATCATGAAAGGATCCATAGGGGCGAAAAACCCTACCAATGCCTAGAGTGTGGAAAGAGCTTCATACAGAGCAGTGACCTTACTTCTCATAAAAGGATCCACACAGGGGAAAAACCATATAAGTGCACGCACTGTGGAAAAAGCTTCAGTTCGAATAGTTCTGTTAATTATCATAAAAGGATCCATACGGGAGAAAGACCCTATGAATGCATCGAGTGTGGGAAGAGCTTTAGCAAAAGCAGCGTCCTGACTGCCCACAGAAGGATGCACACGGGAGAGAAACCCTACAAATGCATAGATTGTGGGAAATGTTTCAGTTTGAGCAGTTCCCTTGCTTCTCATAGAAGGATCCATACAGGTGAGAAGCCATATAAGTGCACAGAGTGTGGGAAAAACTTCAGCAAAAGCTGTTACCTGACTTCCCACAAAAGGATCCATACGGGAGAGAAACCCTTTCAATGCATGGAGTGCGGGAAGAGCTTCAGTAAGAGCAGCGTTCTTACTTCCCACAAAAGGATCCATTCCGGGGAAAAACCTTATAAATGTGTGGACTGTGGAAAAACTTTTCATGGCCGCGGCCACCTGATGTCTCATAGGAGGATTCACACAGGGGAGAAACCCTATCAATGTCTGGAGTGTGGAAAGAGCTTCAGCCATAATGGTTCCCTGACCTCCCATAAAAGAGTCCACACAGGAGAGAAACCGTATCAATGTGTGGACTGTGGAAAGAGCTTCAGTCGAAGCAGTTCCCTTACTTGCCACAGAAGGATCCACTCGGGATTCAAACCTTATATATGCAATCAGTGTGGGAAGAGCTTTAGTACAAGCAGCTCTCTTACTTACCACATTAGTATCCACACAGGGAAGAAACTATATCAGTGCATGGAGTGTGGGAAGAGCTTTAGGCTGAAAAGTCACCTAAATTCCCATCAAAAGATCCACACAGGGTTGAAACCTTATAAATGTATGGAATGTGGAAAGAGTTTTTCTGAAAACAGAACTCTTATTTCTCATGAAAGAATCCACACAGGGGAGAAAAAATATGAATGCATGTTGTGTGGAAAGAATTTCATGTGGAGCAATCAACTTACTTCCCATAAAAGGACCCATGTGGAGGAGATGCCTTTAGGGACTGAAATATCCTTAATTCATGTAAGCGGATCCACTACGATATGAAACCTTATAAAAGCACGGAACGCAGACACAACTTTAGTCAAGAATTGCAAACTGATTCATGTTAAAACACTTGACATGCAGGACTATATATCTATAGGACTCACTTTCCCTGAGGATATCTGTCTGACATTGTAAATTACTCAGAGAGTGCTCTAAAGAGTGGTATGTAAGTCTTAAGGGCTAATGCTATTTGCCTGTTCCACCGGAGCAATAGAGTTGTCCTTTCTGTTAAATATTGCCATCTCATGGGTCCTCAGAAGCTGCCTTTCCTGTTGCAATGTCTGCCTATGGAACACGCTTTCCAAGATCTGATAGCCTCTGCCCCTTTTATCCTTCCAGGAGCCCTTAAAATGGGCACATTAGAGAAATGAGGCCGAGGCACCTTTGGGGTTTTTTTTGGCTGTTTGCTTTTATATTGTTTTATTGACTGTAAGCCACTCTGTTTAAGATTGGCAGCTCTATGAATGTTTAAAGTTTTAAGTAAGTACGTAACAAGTAACCCTCGCTTACTGACAACAATAGGGATTGGCAACTCCATTATTAAGCCATGCAGTCATAAATTGAAACATCATATGACCGTGCTGGTCTTACATCAGTTGGGCAGTTCCACTTGTAACTGTTAATCAAATCCTCCGTGGTCATAAAGGACAGTGTGAATCGACTGCAACATGTGACTTCTTGTGGCTTCCACATTGACTTAATACTTATGAGCAGCTGGCTAATTTAATTTTTGATTGTGTGCCCTGAAATCAGGGTCAGCTCTTGTGACTATAGAGACTTACTACAATTGGATTGGAACTTTCCCTGCAAAGCAATTGGCCACTAAGTGAGTAACGGAAAGTTTTGATCTTTTTTTCTTTTTGCCTCGGTGGATGGCACTGTTAAGAGAAGCTGCTAGTACCACCACAAGTAGAAAAGATGAAATAAATGTTAGCGTAGTCCCTTAGGCATCCCCTATGAGGAAGTAAGTAAATGTGCCCAGAGACCAAGCAAACTGGCCCAAAACATGACTTCCTATGGGTGTCTTGACTGCTGGTATAATCTGAGATTTGTGAGGTTTATAAGTTTGGCGTGAGGGCCCACCAGAGATTCCTTGGTTTGTTTCTCTAGTCCCTAGTGTGATTTTTTTTTTACCTGTTACAGAAATAAAAGTTTTAAATATATTACCTCCCACCTCTGTGTGATTATTGGCTACTCACACCAGACAAAACAAACCTCTCACCTTGGAGCTGAATCAACGCCTTCACTTTGCAGCTCATCCACCTTTCACAGAGCCCAATTCTCCTTTTATGGCCCTTTCTTCCACCCTTCGCCTGGAGGGAGCTGAGAAAATTCAGCTTTGTGGAGGCTGGGTAGGGAGACCACCAGGAGATCCTACGTCCCCAAGGGGAAGCTGCCAAAGGCTTTCCAAGGTCTGAGGGGAAACAAAAGGACCCAGAGATCTTGACAGGACCAAGATCACCAAGCCCAAGGTTCATTAGGGCAGTGTTGCCTCTCCTCAGGTGGAGTCTGTGTGTGTGTGTGTGAGAGAGAGAGAGAGAGAGTTTAGTGTATGTTTGTATATGACTTTCCTCAGAGCGAGGAGGAAAATTCGTACCCAGCAGAGAAGCGGCTGAGGCGATTCCGAGACTCCCGTTTCCCGCTCAAATCTGACAGGCGCCTCTCGCCTGCCATTGGCTCGCCAAGCTCATGTGACCCGGCGGGCTCCCGCTCCCCCTCCCCCCCCGTCATTCATGCTCCACCCCGAGCACAACGTCTGCAGCTACCGAGGCCAAGATGGGGAGGAACAGCCTCGCTCGTTGGGAAGGGCTCTACTGAGCACGCGCGCCACTCAGATGGGCGCGAAATAGCTGAGCGTGCAGTTGTCCTGCGGGAGCGCTTCCGACTTGCTTTTGATGGAAGAGTAGAAGCGCCGAGTTGGAGCCTTCCTCCCACAGCCTTGAACCCGCACCTGCCTTTCACCCTTTTTTTTCTCGGAAGCAAAATCAGCGTCTCCTTGTCCCTCTGCAACTCATGGTTTCCTTCTGCCTTTGGTTTTAAAAGAAGCCACTCCTGATCTCTGGGTGACTGAGTGGTACTCGTTAAAATACACGTACAACTAAGGGCCAAAAATGTATACTTGCAGCACTTTTGGGTTTTCTTATTTTATCCTTTATTGCTCTAGAGCAAATAAAAGCCGTAGGGGTTGACTCCAAAAAAGGGCAACGGAGATGACGCTCCTGTGGAACCAAAGCTGGGTGAAGAGATGGAGAAACGTGGCGGGGGATCCAAAGCAGGGAAGAGATTGGCGCTTTCTTGGGCAGAGAGCAATGGATCCGAGATCACCTCTTAGGGATGGCGGGAAAGGAAATCCCAGAATGGCTGGTTAGTATATAACAGAGAACCAGGATCTGGTGGTCTCCAGGCTTGGCTAAGTGCTTCAACCCAACTGGTGGCAGGACACAGAAGTCTCACCGTGGGGAGATGGAACATTGAAACAATGGAGGGGGTGTATCTTCAGAAGGGGGAAAGAGTAGAGTTAGTCCTCAACTTATAACAGATTAGTGACCGTTCAAAGTTACGGCACTGAAAAACGTGGCTTGGCAGCCGGCCCACCATGGGGGGAGTAACACATATATGCATGTACACCTGCATTTGTTTGTGTGCACACCCTGTACTTGTGTGAACAGAGCTTAGCGTGCAAGCGCCCTCCGCTCGCGCGAGTAGAGGTTCATGCGCCAGCCCAAACACTTCTCCACTTTTGCCCACAATGTTCCGTTCATGAGTCTAGGGCCGCCCACGCCTGTTGCTCATTCAAATGGAGCTGTACCCGCATGCGTGCGCCTGCTACTAACAAACCACTCCACACTGGGCCAAGCTGGAAAGGCTGGGTACCGCTGAATTAGAGGTTCCAGGAGGAATACGGTCTGTACCCCAGTCAGGCAAAGGGGTTCCTTTCACAGATGGACATGTTTTCTGCCTCCTTGTCTGAAGTCAGGGAAACTTTGCCTTCACGTCTGGAAGATTTGCCATGTCTTTCTCATGTGGTTGAGCTCACTTATCCAAGCACCTCAGCTGCGTCCGCCTTTCTCTCACTGGGCATCTTCTTCTGGGGATTCTGGCTCCCCCAAGCCCCATTGAAAGAGAGGAGACGCATAAAAGGTCCAACAGAATTTTATTTGAAGGGATCCAAAAAGGCCCAAATGGCAGGCCTGGGGGCTGGCTGGCCCACTCCTCCCTCTGCACCGCCCCTTCAAGTTTTGACGGACACTTTGCCCTGGGTCCGCTGGAACTCCTGCTGCAGCCGGCCCAGGGCATCCCGATGCTGCTCCGACTTCCGCTCATAGTCCTGAATCTGAGCCTCGTAGCGTTTGCTGGGGAGAGAGGATCAAACCGGTGAGAAGCCCCAAAAGAGCTGTGGGGACTCCAAGATAGACTGCCTCAGGAGCTGGAGGCCTCGCTCAGGAACCCCCGTCTACTCACATCTCCCCTGTGATGTACTCCAGCCTCTTTCCCACGGTTGCTTTGGCTTCCTCCGTGTCCTGCTTCACCAGCACCGGCCCGATGAGCTTGTAGACGGAGTTAGAGGGGTCCAGCAGGTCCAATTCCTAGAGGGGAGGGAAGGAGGAGGGCTGTTGCTGAAAGGGAGCCCAGGGAAGGCGGGGGGTGGGTGGGTGGGGGGAACCAGGCCTGACCTCACCTCCTTCACCACATGGTTCTCCGTCAACTGAGCTTCCAGCTTCTGACGGGCTGTCATGCATTTGCTCATATCTGCAAGGAGGGGAAGAGACACCCCCCGCTTGTGGTTAGAGTCCCTTACCTGGAATCTTCTTGACTTCCTCAGCCTGTTTCCAGCAGCCTCTCAGGTCCAGAGGGGGAGGGAATCAGGAGAGAGATGGGCTCTGTGCCCCCACCCCCAAAACTGCTGAAAGGCTCAGCCTCTCAGATGGAGAAGAGCACTTGGGGCCCCTCTGAGGCCATCCGCATCTTTGTGAACCCCTCCAACACAGTCAGCAGGGGGACCCAGGGGGATCCTTCTGTGGGGGAGTCACAACGCTGCTTCCTTCTGTCTTCTGCAACCGGCTCTCCGGGAATGCAAGATAGGCTCTGGCTGGTTTGGGGGAAGCCACCCTGAAGGTTTTGAAAGAAGGAGTGGAACTATGCTCCAGCGCCCTGAGAGGCGGGTGCCGAAGGGCGAAGGTACCATGGGTAGATGAGGGCGAGAAGGCGCTAGCGGGCACCCAGACAGCCTCACCAGCCGTTATAGACCCACCTTAACAAGCTGCGAGTAGATGTTTGGTGGGTCCCACCAAGTGTGGGACTACGGCTCCTATTGTTTTCCTGCAGCCAAGGCTGGTGGGCCACTGGCTGGGGAAGATGGGAGGTGTAGTGCAACATATCTGCCCGGGCAACCGACTTGGGAATGTGTTTTAAAAACTGGGCTTCTGAAATGGCTGCCACCTCCAGAGAGCAAGGTCCTGCAGAATGGCCTTGAACGAACTGCCTCTTTCCAGGAGCGACTGGGAGCAATGGAAAGACGGTGCAGGGGATGGTCCTGGGACACCTCCCCCCCGGCAGGGTCCGGGGAAGTTCTGACCTTTCTGCAGCTGCTGATATTTGTCTAGCTCCGCCTGTAGCTTCTTCTGTAGAGCTTCACCCATTGTGTGTGTGTCTCTCTCTCCTTGCACGTGCCGAAGCTCCTCTGGTTTCTCTCCCACACTGGAACAAAGAATAGAAGAACGTCAATCATCTGATTACACTGAATATTACATCCAGAGGTGCCTCTTTCCAAGCAGTTTCCCAGTAGATTGTGCTCAACTTACAACAGTTCGTTTGGTGACCGTTCAGGGGGTTACAAGGGCACTGAAAAAGTGACTTATGACTGATGCAGCATCCCCGTGGTCACGTGGCTTACATTCGGATACTTGACAAATGGTTCACATTTATGACGGTCACAGCGTCTGTCAGGATCCCCACCTCACTCCACCCCGTCAAAACTAATGAAGTTTCTTGGATGAGAAGTGAAAGATCACGCACTTTCCCTCTTTAGTGACCTTCTGACAAGCAAAGCCAATGGGAAAGCCAGATTCGCTTTAACTGGCCCATGTTTACTCACTGAACAACTGTGGCGATTCACTTAACAACAGTGGCAAGGAAAGCCGTAACAAGGAGACAAAACTCACTCCACAAATTTCTCACTTAGCAACATAAATTCTGGGTTCAATTGCGGTTGTTAAGTTGAGCACAATCTGTGTGTGTATGTATGTATGTGTTAATGTGTGTAGAAATGGCCCTCATTAAGATAACAGATAATCAGGGTTGGAAGGGCCCAAGCAGGAGATCCTACACCTGTAATGGCAAACCTATGGCACGCGTGCCATAGGTGGCATGCAGAGCCATTTGTGCCGGCACGTGAGCTGCAGGCAAACTTACCTTACTGCATACGTGCACACCTCACAGCTGATTTTTGGCTGGTTTGAGGCCTTTTTCGGCCTCCCAGAGGCTTCAGGAAGGCTTCTGCAGGCCGAAAACTAGCCCCCTTGTGTGACTTCCTGTTTTTCCGGAAATACTGGAAGTGACCAAACGGGCTTCAACCTGAAAAGCCTGCAGAAGCCTTCCTGAAGCCTCTGGGAGGCCGTAAAAGGCCTCAAACTGCCCCCAAATCAGCTGTGAGGCGCAATGCAGATAAGGGGGAGATGGGGGGGGTAGCTGGGTGGGTGGGACTGCGCGTGCATGTGTAGAGGGCATGGGGAGTGTGCATTGCCTTCTGGGTGCTGTTAGATAGGGCCCAGTGTTCTAGTCTGTCAAGATCAATCTGGATCTTGAGCCTATCTTCTTGGGTGTTAGCTATTCCTGCCAGCTTAGTATCATCTGCAAATTTGGTAAGTTCCCCTTCTATTCCCTCATCTAAGTCGTTAATGAAGATATTGAAGAGTATTGGGCCTAAGATGGAACATTGTGGCACCCCACTGCTTACTTCCCTCCATGTAGACTTAGACCCATTAAGGACTACACGTTGAGTACGGTTTGCCAGCCAGTTGCGTATGCGTAGATAGATAATAGATATGGATAGATGGATGATATGGTAGATAGATATAGAGATAATACGATTATCAGGCAAGTAGAGATTTATATTAATAATATTTATATCTGTATTT